AGAAATTGGGATTTAAAGAGGGTAAGGAGCCATCCCAAGGTCAGAGTCAGGTTTGGAACCAGGTCTCTCTAACTCCTGAGCCAGCCATCTGGGTGTGCTTGGCTCTCTCTACACCACTGCTGCCATGAGCTTTCTGTCTTCCCAGAGCATCATTGCCTACAATGGAAGAATGTTCTTGTACTTGCCTTTGTCCAAAGTCTTAATCCTGGTCTCACTCTTTTCACGTCCCCATGGATATCCTGGTCCCTTAATGAGATTCAAGACTTTCGAATTAAACCCTCTCCATTTGGAAGATCCCAGGCAGCTGGGCTGATGCGATTGATGGTTTCCAACTGCTGCGCCATGTGTTCTCGGTGTCCCTTGCTCTCAGCTATTCTCATATAGGCAGGCTGTGAGGCTAATCATGTCTCCACAGTGTAAAACTGAATCCTGATATACTCACTAAAGCCCTCATGTTTCCTTGGGCCCCATTTAGATTCCCATTTATATTCTCAACAATTTCCAAGATCAGAGGTGGCCTCAGCAACTCAGCACATTTTAAACAGGATGCTAAACTTGAAAAAAATACATTGAATTCAAACTTGTCTTTTGAATTCTGGTCTCATATAGCCAACAGTCTAATTGACATCCTTTCTTAGATATTTTGAAACTTGCCACATCCATATCAGAATTCTTGGTGTTGGCCGTCTCACCCGTAGCCATCCTCTGCCTCCTGCTCAGTTCACAGAACCTTGATTTTGTTTGGGGATAATGTGCCCAGAGCAGGGCTTGAACCAAGATTGGTCCAAGTCCATCACAGTGATCTCAGCCCCATCGTAGAGTACTCCCGTCCCTGGCCTCCAGCAAGGGGAGCTCAGTGAGATTTAAAGGAAGTCTGCTAGAGAGTTCCTAGAAACAAAGGGTCTTCAAAAGAAAAGGAAGGCTGTCTTAGACACTTCGTATGCAGCACTTGAAGTCATTGGGGCCTTGCCTCTTACTCCAGCCATCCCTTGGGCCTCAGTTACTTGCAGTATTCTACCAGCTTCCCACTGGTGCAACTTCAGCCCACAGCTGAGTGCCGAGTGCTCCCTGCCCTGGGGCTCCCCACCTATCCAGCCACCACCCTGGTCCAAGATGGCATCATCTCCCTTTTGAACTTTTACAATAGCTTCCTCATTGATCTCCTCCTTCCAACTCCTGCCCCTTCCCTGATACATCAAAGCAAGAGTGATTTTAAAAAATATAACCTGATTCATGCTAATTCCCTACTTCAAACCTTTTGAGGACTTGGCATTATACTTTGAGCAAAATCCAAACTCCTTCCCATGGCCTGCAAGACCTTGCATGATATGGCCAACTGCCCCATCTCCAGCCTTTGCTTATCTCAATTTTCCCTTGCCAGAGTGGCCCCCTGGGTCTTACATGTTTGGAGCCTTCCCAGTACAGATCCTTTTGCCTGGTACACTCTTCCCTAAGGCTCCCCATGGCCAAATCCCTTTTGTCAACCAGGTGCCAGTCTCCTCTTAGAGTAAGGCCTTCCTTAGCACCCAGGGTTAAGTAATCCCACATGATTCTTTTTGTTTTCTTCATAGCACTTAGGGCAAGTTGCAATTATATATTTATTTGTTTTTTCACCCATTAATCTGCCTGGTAAGGTTAGAATCTTTTACGGAAAAGTCCAGATTTTTATTCTCCACCAAATACCCAGGTCCTTGTACAATGCCTGTCTTTGAATGTGTACTCAATAAATATTTGTTGAGTGAATGAATTGTGATAATAACAATATCAGTTTCCATTGAATGAGCTCCTTGTTTTTTGTGTTCAAATCCTGACTCTGACATTTATTAGCTCTGTGAACTTGGGCAAGTAGCTTAACCTCTCTGTACCTCAGTTTTATCATCTTCAGTGGGTATAGTAATACTACCTAGTTGAGTTGTCAGAAACATTAACTTATTTATTATATGTGAAGAACCTAGAGTGGTGTCTGGCAAATAGAGAGCATCATATAAATGCTTAGCTGCTACAGTTGTTGCTATCATTAATATCTCTGCCTGGAACTGACTCTCAGGAAGATTAGAGCCATATACTTAGTAATTGGCAGCTTAGGATCCCAAAGGACTGAAAGTATGAATTAACAAAAGTTATTCATGGACACTATAGACAGTGTCTGCCATATTATAATCTATTTGCCAATTGTCTGCTTCTAAATGCCTTTGAAAGCATAACCAGATGGCACTTTTTTCCAAGGATATTCATGTAAATATGGGGGCAGAAAATGGCTTAATGTAGTTACACTTTTCAGAAATTATGAAATTTATGTGTGGGGAAAGAACAAGGAAGACAAGGGAGGTGCATTTATAGACACAGAACAGTTGGCACCTCCTCACGTTCCATTCATTTTTTAACCCTTTCTGATCTGGCTTCTCCACCCTCCACTAAAACTACTCCTGCCAAGGTCAGCATGACTTTCCAATTGCCAAGTCAGAAGGCGACTTTTTGGACCCCAGCTTATTGCACTCATTTGACATACCTGATGTTATTAACCAACGACACACCTTTTGTAACTCTGCTGTCAGCACAACTACTGCCACATTCTGGATTCTCTCTCTGGTTCTTCTTAGCCACCTTGCCACCTTATCACAGTCTGTGTCTTCCTTAGGGTCCACTCCTGGTCCATGTCCCTTCCCACTGTGTCCTGGGAAAACACCACTCAAGACCATCAACTCTCACCACAACCTACATTGCTACCCAGATACTCTTGACATTTTTGTCCAGACTCAATTGCTGGCCATTTTCCTGAAGAGCTGGAACCTCAGTCTGGACCTCTCACACATGAGCTTTCCTTTTCATCCACTTGCTGCTGCTGTGCACCCTCATCACCGGTTCCTGGGCATTCTACCAGAGCCCCCTGACTGGTCTCTCTACCCTTAGTCACCTCCAACCCATTCTCCACACTCCCGTAGAGCACTTTCTAAACCGTGGTAATCTGAGCTTCCACTTCCAATAACGGTGGAATTGTTCCTGTAAGACAACCCTCCACAAGTAACAACTAGGAACTCTAGAAAAATGAAAAATAAAAACCAATGACTTGAAGGCACTAGAGAGGAACCAAAAGCAGACAGATCATGGACAAGAGGTAGCACTTGGAAGAATGAAATATCATGTGTGAGTTCTGCATTTTTTATGGATTTTGGCCTGAGAGCAAACCCCAGTTAGTGCTAAGCAGGGCAGCTAAAACTCAGCAGCATGCAGTCTCACGAGATAGAAGAACCAGAGAAAAGCATTCAGGGTGATAAGCATAGCAGCGGTAACTTGGAGGGAGGGGGGAGTCCAAGACAAGAGGAAGCAACTTCAGAACTCATCCTATCATGATCCATATTGGTCGCTTTTGGATTCCATTACTTCTAGCATAATTCATTACTTTGATTTCTTATTACAAAAGTGATGCATAGGACATTTAGAAGATCTGGGAGAACAAAGGCAAGATGATTCATTATTCAGTAATTATTCACTGAGCACTAATTATGTGCCAGGGACTATCCTTGGTACTGGGAGCACAGCTTTTTAAAAAAAAGTCCTTGTTCTCACTCTAGTATGTAAGTCACATGAAAAGAAAAGAAACAAAGAGATGTGTAATATAATACTCAAGGTGGGAATTTCAAGAAAATAAAAGTCAGCGATGCTGGACAACATTGAACGAGAGAGAATATTTAGAATGCTAAAAGTGGTCACTTATCTGAAGTCTTTTTCTTTATTGAAAATAATTTAGCTCATTCTTGATACTTTAGAAATTACTCTCAAGTAGCCAATGGTACAGAGATACATAATTTGCATGTAGACACCTTATTCACAGTTAAGGGTATGTTATTTTTTACCCACAAAATGCTAAAATACATCCTACATAGGTACAATCTAGGTTTTGTGGCTGGATCTATGAAGCCAAACGATTTTTGACCAGTTTTTTTTAAAACCCTGAACTGACTCAGTGTTTTGGTATTATTTCAATCGAGTATGAATTTCCTTGTCTGTCATTTAGAGAAGGCATGAGGTATTAGTACAGTCAGAGAAGAGCTCTACTGAAAAGTGACCCCCCATCGTCTATCATCTCTGTCTAATGAGATGCTGCTGTGAGCTCCTGATGAAATATTGTGCCACAGAACCTTGCCCTGTTGTGCAATTTCTGCAGAAGACCTTACAGGGCCATCTGAGCTCAGGCAACATTGATTACTATTCCATCTGTCGATTTATCTCTAAATAATCATGTATTATAATGGTCTTCTATTTCCGGTGCGTTGTACAGATGTTCTTTTGGAGACTCATCAAAACAGTTGAATTTTTTTTTTTTTTGAGATTTTTAATTGGACGTGCATTTCTCTTCTGAAGCAGCCTGTCTTCAAATTTCTGTTTTGAAAAGTGCGCCTATGAGCAGCACAGCGCATGGCACACTGTGGCTAGCCAGGAATCCTGTGCCTTTTAGCAGCCCTTACCTAAAATGCTCATTTGATTTCTTTAAACTTACTCTTTAAATGACTACTATTCGGTTTTGTCAGTGGTTAAAGAGGGGGAAGGCGCTGAGATGCACAACAGCTGGAGGGGGCACGGACATTCCTTAGTGGGGCAGGAGGGGCTTCTGATCAGAGCAGGTGTGTGACTAACAGGGTGGCACAGCACTGGGGGAGGCTGCTGCAGACCTGTCCTGTGGGGAGCCCTCTGGACACTCCCTCTCCTTTCCAGCCGGCAAGACCGTTCCTCCCTTGCCAGTGCCTTTGCGGATGTGCCCAGCTACACTGTCCTGAGTTCCAGTTTCTGGGAAGGCTCTCCTCCTCACTCTGATTCTAACTAGCTCTGCTGCTTGGGTCAAGTCACTTGCCCTCTCTGGACCTGTTTCTCCCTCCAAAGTTGGATGAGGTTGGGCTCCATGAGAGCCGGCATGGCTTCAAACTGATGCCATATGGTGGCCCTCTCCCCTGCTCACACCCATCCCCACAATCCCATGGTAGCTCACAAACACCAAGCCTCACCCTCCCGGGTTGGGAGTCAGCAGATTGTCATCAGGGTCTCATGGGAGAGCGAGGAATGTCCTCAGGAAACTCAGCTTGTCGTCTTCTTCTTCCTGGAATAGGGGCCCCTGGTGTCAGCGGGCTGTGCTGTTGAGCTTAAGGCAGAGGACCGTGGGTGCTCCAGCTTGGGCCATAGGTAGGAAGGTCTGGCCCATAAACACAACGCCAGGCAGGCTGGTGTGGCTGGTGTGGATTCAGCTCCAGAATCAGGAGACAGGCTTGAGAGCTGATCCAGGCGGGAAACGGGATGTGGCCCTGGGCAGTCACTTACCTCTAGCCTTGCCTCTTCATCTGTAGAATGGGGATAGCCACCGCTGTGCTAATAACTCAGGGTTGTTCAAAGTGAGGAAACGCACTCAACAGTATCTTTTTTTCCTTAAAAAGATAATATAAACCGTAATGTGCATATAAATCACTTGGGGATCTTGTTAAAATGCAAACTCTGGGGGCGCCTGGGTGGCTCAGTTGCTTGAGCACCTGGCTCTCAGTTTTGGCTCAGGTCGTGATATTAGGGTGGTGGGATCAAGCCCTGAGTTAGGCTCTGCACTCAGCGTGCCGTCTGCTTGAGATTCTCCCTCTCCCTCTGCCCCTCCCCCTGCTCAAGCGCGCTCTCTCTCTCAAACAAATAAATCTTTTAAAAAGTGCAAATTCTGACTCAGTAGATTTGGGGTAAAGCCCCAAATTCTGCATTTCTTACAAGCTCCAGGGTGAGACTGCCCATGCTGTGCTGCGCCACCCTCTGGTGAGCAAGGATCCAAACCATTAAAGTTTTTCAAAATAAAAACAAGAAATTATCTAAATCCCACCACCCTAACACTACTTTCACTTCTGCTTTTTTTTTTTTTTTTTTTACTTCACATTACATCTTCAGTGGTTTCCATGTTTCTGTAAATTGTATGGGCCGTGAATTTTCTGTAATTATTACTTGTAAATAGTTGTCCAGCATTCCACAGTGCCAAAATGTTATCACTTAGCTATCCTGAAGCTAGGCTTGAAGCTCTGCCTGCTGCCGGCCTCTGTGTATGGTTGGACCAGACAGTCCCCTGTGTGTGGGGAAGCCTGTGCTCCTGGGGCAGCAGGAGAGCACTTGTTTCCTCCTGTTCCTCCCTAAGATCAATCTGTGGGAGGAAACTGGCTTGAGATTATGAACATCTTCATGAACTCTTGTTACTTTTGACATATGATTCTTCTGAAGGTTAACAAAGTGATGGATATGCACATATTTTGATTATTAAAAATATGGGCTCCCCCTGCACACTGCTGGGGAGGTGTAAGATGTGCACCACTATGGAAGACAGTATGGAGGCTCCTCAAAAAATTACAACTAGAACTGCCATGGGATCCAGCAATCCCACTTCTGGGTCCCAAAGCATTGAAATCTGGATCTCAAAGAGATCATCTGCCCTCCTGTGGTTCATCGAGGTACTATTCACAGTAGCCAAGGTGTAGACACAACCTAAGTGTCCTTAGGTATATATGCAGTATATACATACAGTGTAAAAAAAAAAAAAGGACATCTTGCCATATGTGACAACATGGCTGAACCTTGTGGACATCACACTAAGTGAAATAAGCCAGTCACAGGGCGCCTGGGTGGCTCAGTTGGTTAGGCGACTGCCTTCAGCTCAGGTCATGATCCTGGAGTCCCGGGACTCGCATCAGGCTCCCTGCTCAGCAGGGAGTCTGCTTCTCCCTCTGACCCTCGCCCCTCTCATGCTCTCTCTCTCTATCTCATTCTCCCTCTCAAATAAATAAAATCTTAAAAAAAAAAAAAAAAGAAAGAAGCCAGTCACAGAAGGACAAATACTTATGTGAAGTATCTAAAATACTCAAATGGGGGCACAGAGCAAGATGGCAGAGGAGTAGGAGACCTAAATTTCGTCTGGTCCCAGGAATTCAGCTGGATAGGGATCAAACCATTCTGAACACCTACGAACTCAACAGGAGATCGAAGAAAAGAATAGCAGCAACTCTCTGAACAGAAAAGCAACCACTTTCTGGAAGGTAGGACGTGCGGAGAAGTGAATCCAAGGTGATATTGGGGAAGATAGGCGGTGGGGGAGGGGGCCTCCGTCAGCTGCTTCTGGCAAGTGATAGAGCAGTGGAGCACAAAATCGGAACTTTTAGAAGTCTGCTCCGCTGAGGGACGTCGCTCCAGTGGCTAAGCGGGGGGTGGAACCCTGGCTGGGACAGTGTGGTCTCAGGACCCTCAGGGTCACAGAAAGACCGGGGGTGCCTGAGTGCAGCAGAGCTCCCAGGTATTGGAGTGGGGAAGCCGGCTGCAGAGACGGAGCCAGGGCACAGGCTCTCAGCTCGGGGTTGCCATAAACCATGATCCGCGGCACAGTTGGGCCACTGCTCCTCCAGCAGGGACCCAACAAGGCAGATCCAGGAAGACTCCCCTTCCTCCTGGGGAGAAGCACTGCGGGAGCGCACCGCAGGGATCTGCTGGGTTTGGAGACTCCACACAGGGTCGTGTGCTAGAGATAGAAACACTCGGTCACAGGCCGGGTGAGTACGGAGTGTGGCCGGAGACCGGGGAGACAGGAGTGATTGACTTCTTTTCTCTGGGGGCTCACTGAGGAGTGGGGACACGAGTTCTCAGCTCCTCCGGGGTGGAGATTGGGAGGCCGCCATTTTTGCTCTCCTCCTCCAAGCTGTAGGGAAAGCTTGCAGGGAACAGAAGCTTTCCCGAGAGCACACCCGAGCAGATTACTTAGCCCAGACCCAGCAAGAGCGGGGCAATTCCACCTCTGGCAAAGACATCTGGGAACCACGGCAACAGGCCCCTCCCCAAGAAGATCAGCAAGAACCGACAGCCAAGACCAAGTTTACCGATCAATGAGAATGGCAGAACGCCAGTGCTAGGGGAATACTGCACATAGAATTCATGGCTTTTTTACCATGATTCTTTAGTCTTTCAAAGTTAATTTTTTTTTTTTACTTTTTTTTTAAATTTCTTTTTCCCTTTTTCAACCAACATCTTATCAATCTCTTTTTAAAAAAATCTTTTTTATTTTTCATTTTTAGAGTCATATTCTATCCCTTTATAGTAGTTAACCTTATTTTTGGTACATACATATAAGTCGTTCTCTCTTTAAAATTTTGGGATACAGTTTCTTCTAACAGATCAAAATATACCCTAAATCTCTAGTGTATGGATTTGTTCTAGTCTCCTGCCTGATCACATTCTCTCCCTTTTTTTTTTTAATTTTCTCTTTTTCAACCAATTTCTTATCAATTCCTTTTATAAAATCTTTTATAATTTTCATCTTTAGAGTCATATTCCATCCCTTCTTTGTATTTACCCTTACATTTGTACATATATAAATTTTTCTTTCTTTAAAATTTTGGGAGGCACTTTCTTCTACCAGACCAAAATTCACCCAAAATCTAGTGTGTGGCACTGATCTGTGCACCAGCCTGATCATATTTGATCATATTCTGTTTTTTTGTTTGTTTGTTTGTTTTTATCTTTTTCTTTTTTCTTTCTTTCCCTTTCTTTTCTCCTGGTTTCAGGTCTCTTCTGATTTGTTCAATGTATATTTTTCTGGGGTCGTTGTTACCCTGTTAGCATTTTGTTCTCTCATTCATCTATTCTCTGGACAAAATGACAAGACAGAAAAAATCACCTCAAAAAAACCCCCCAAAAAACAAGAGGCACTACCAACTGCCAGGGAACTAATCAATACGGACATTAGTAAGATGTCGGAACTAGAGTTCAGAATGACGATTTTAAGATACTAGCTGGGTTTGAAAAAAGCATGGAAGATATTAGAGAAACACTTTCTGGAGAAATAACAGAACTAAAATTTAACCAAGTCGAAATCAAAAAGGCTATTAATGAGGTGCAATCAAAAATGGAGGCTCTAACTGCTAGGATAAATGAGGCAGAAGAGAGAATCAGTGATATAGAAGACCAAATGATGGAAAATAAAGAAGCTAAGAAAAAGAGAGATAAACAACTACTGGATCATGAGGGCAGAATTTTAAAGATAAGTGATACCATAAGACAAAACAATATTAGAATAATTGGGATCCCAGAAGAAGAAGAAAGAGAGAAAGGGGTAGAAGGTATATTGCAGCAAATTATAGCAGAGAACTTCCATAATTTGGGGAAGGAAACAGGCATCAAAATCCAGGAGGCACAGAGAACCCCCCTCAAAATCAATAAAAATAGGTCATAACCCTACATCTAATAGTAAAACTTATGAGTCTCACAGACAAAGAGAAAACCCTGAAAGCAGCTCGGGAGAAGAGATATGTAACCTACAATGGTAGGAACATTAGATTGGCAACAGACCTATCCACAGAGACCTGGCAGGCCAGAAAGGACTGGCAGGATATATTCAGAGTACTAAATGAGAAAAATGTGCAGCCAAGAATACTATCCAGCTAGGCTGTCATTGAAAATAGAAGGAGAGATAAAAAGCTTCCAGGACAAACAAAACTAAAGGAATTTGCAAACACGAAACCAGCCCTACAAGAAATATTGAAGGGGGTCCTCTAAGCAAAGAGAGAATCTAAAAGTAACATAGGCCAGAAAGGAACACAGACAATATACAGTAACAGTCACCTTATAGACAATACAATGGCACTAACTTCATATCATTCAATACTTACCCTGAATGTAAATGGGCTAAATGACCCAATCAAAAGACACAGGCTATCAGATTGGATAAAAAAACAAGACCCATCGATATGCTATCTGCAAGAGACTCATTTTAGACCCAAAGACACCCCCAGATTGAAAGTGAGGGGGTGGAAAACCATTTACCATGCTAATGGACACCAAAAGAAAGCTGGGGTGGCAATCCCAGACAAATTAGATTTTAAACCAAAGACTACAATAAGAGATGAGGAAGGACACTATATCCTACTTAAAGGGTCTATCCAACAAGAGATCTAACAATTGTAAATATCTATGCCCCTAACATGGGAGCAGCCAATTATATAAGCCAATTAATAACAAAAGCAGAGAAACACATCGACAACAATACAATAATAGTGGGAGACTTTAACACCCCCCTCACTGAAATGGACAGATCATCTAAGCAGAAGATCAACAAGGAAATAAAGACTTTAAATGACACACTAGACCAAATGGACTTCACAGACATATTCAGAACATTCCATCCCAAAGCAACAGAATACACATTCTTCTCTAGTGTCCATGGAATATTCTCCAGAACAGATCACACCCTAGGTCACAAATCAGGTCTCAACTGGAACCAAAAGATTGGGATCATTCCCTGCCTATTTTCAGACCACAATGCTTTGAAACTAGAACTCAATCACAAGAGGAAAGTCGGAAAGAACTTAAAAACATGGAGGCTAGAGAGCATCCTACTAAAGAATGAATGGGTCAACCAGGA